CTTCCATATCCTGTTGCTGAACTGTAGGGAAGGACTGTGCTTCATTGACAAGCTGCTGAATTGTCTTTGCTAAAGTTATTGTGCTGTTTTCAGTCCCATCAGCAAAAGAGCTCCAGTTGCTCCACATCTTCATCAGCACTTGGACTGCTGGTCTTTTCACTGTAGTCCATTCTAGTGGACATGCAGTGGTGCCTCACTGAAGTTCTAATTTACAACTTCATGACTAATGATACCGAACACTTTCTTCTGTGTTCACTGGCAATTTGCATTATCTCCTTTGTGTTATTCTGTTGAGAGATCCCCCCTTGAGAAATCTTTCTTAGAACACCCATATATCACTTCGTCTGGTCAGAGCATTTTATTTATTGTATATGTTCATGTGTGTGCAGGTGCACATGTGTGTGTAGAGGCCAGAGGTCAACCTCAGGCATCGTTCTTTAGGTGCCAGTGTACCTTTTTGAGATGGGGTCTCTCTCTGGTTCAGGTGCACTGGGCTGGGCTAGCTTGGCTGGCCAGGAAGTTTCAGGAATCCACTGAGACAAGCCCCCCCATGTCTCTCTGTGTGTGTGTGTGTGTGTGTGTGTGAGAGAGAGAGAGAGAGAGAGAGAGAGAGAGAGAGAGAGAGGCCCAGGAATCTACCCACTTGAGATTACAAGCACATGCCACCATGCCTGGCTGTTTTGAGAGAGAGGACAGACACATAGAGACAGAGTCTCTCCCCCTAGCTGGCCTGGAACTCACTAAGTAGACAAGGGTGACCTTGATCTATGACTCCCCAAGTACTGGGATTAAAGGCATGCACCACCACACCTGACTGATGCAGCTTTTTACATGAGTTCTAAAAGATCCAACTCAGGTCCTTAGAATTCTATTATTAAGCACAATTAACTGAGTTGTGTCCCCAGCCTAGATCACATTTGCTATTTCTTTTGTTTAAATTTATTTTATGAGTGTTATGTCTGCGTGTATGTAAGTGTACCTGTGTCATTCAGTGTCCACAGAGAAAAGATGAGGGTGTCAGATCCCCTGGAACTGGAGTTACAGGTGGTTGTTAGCTGCCACACAGGAGCTGAATCTGGGTCTTTCTGCAAGTACAACCAGTGCTCTTAACTGCTGAGCTGTCTAGCCCCAATGGACTTGCTTGCTTTTTCTATGTGCACATAAAACTGAGTCATTTGAAAATAAGTTCCAGACATCAACTCACATATAAATACTAACAATACTCCTCTATATAACTATAAATCTACTATTACACAAATTAGCAAGTTCATATTTAGTCCAGACCCAATTTCCCCAGGTTCTCCACTCTTTTTTTTTTTTTTGTCTTTTTGAGACAGGCTCTCTCTGTAGCACCAGCTGACCTTGAACTCTCAGAGATCCACCTGCCTCTGCTTCCCCGCTCCCTCTTACTTTATAGCCCAGATTGGCCTCAAAATCACGGCAATCCTCCTGTCTCTGTTTCCTAAATGCCTGAATTACAGGCATGAACCACCATTCCTAGTCAACAATCTCTTAAGATGCAATTAGAGTGCAAGAACTGTTACTGGCAATTTCTTTAGTCTCCTTTAATCTAAAACTTTGACTTCTTGAAGAAACTAAGCCAGTTGTTTTGTGAAATGACATACATTCTGAATTTACCTTATTTTCTATGAATCATAAATTACATTTGGATTCAGTACAGGCATTATTTATTTATAAACAGAGTCCTTCAGTGATTTTGATACAGACCGTGCAGAGACCATATTCTGGCAAACCTTGCCTAAGGTCTAAAAGTTGCCCAGACTGGACTTGAACTTGAAATCCTACCACCTCAGTCTCCCTCCCAACTAGATGAGATTACAAACATGGGGTCACTCACCACGCCTGGCTCAGTAGGCACTTTTGACATGAAAACTCTTGAAATACAGGGTTGTTTATATTTCAATGCCTCATAGAATTTACTGGTCTCATATAATTTGTTTTTGAAATGTTGGGAGATTGAAGCTGGGGGATCACACAGGCAAGTGCTCTCTTTGCTGAGCACCAGCTTATTTCTTCTATCCTCAAAACATAGCTCCATAGCTCAGAAACTTCTCTGGCTGGCCCACATTCTCTAAGACTTTCTCACCTGTGTTTATTGGTAAACCCCTGCTCTACCAACAAAATGCTGTTCTCCCAGGCTTCTCTACCCTTTGGTAATTTCCAAGGGAAGGACTATTTGTTTCAAATAAGAATGGACAATGTTTAACAAATACTGAAAAAAGACTTCATATTGTCTTACTAGTAACCCTAAGAAATTTTAATTATCACATGTGTTGGTAACATGGCTGCAATCCTGCATTGTGAGACATGGAAGCAGGAGGAACAGGAGTTCAAGGTCATTTTCCACTAAGTTTGAGGTCAGCCTAAACCCTGTGAACCCTGTGAAACCGAAGAGGAGGAGCCTGAACCAGTTAGCAAAGCACTTTGCTTTGTAAATATTAGGACCCATATAAAATCCAGACATGGTAACTCATGCTTGTAATCCTGGAGCAGGGGAAATGGAGGCAGAAAGATCCCTGGGTTCACTGGCCATACAGTCCAGCTTAATAGGCGAGCTCCAGGCCAATGAGCCCTTGTCTCAAAGGAGGCAGACAGCATTCCTAAAGATGACACCTGCTGTTGTCCTCCAGCCTCCACATGTACACACACTCTAAAAATAAAAAAAATAAAAATAAAATCATGATGTAAACCATTTTAAAGCTTAAGTAAGCCAGATGTGGTGGCACACACCTTTAATCCCAGCACCTGAGAGGCAGAGGCAGGCGGATCTCTGTGAGTTCAAGGCTAGCCTGGTCTACATAGTGAATTCCAGGACAGCTGGGGCTACAGGGAGACTCTGTCTAAAAAAAAAAAAAAAAAAAAAAAAAATCAACGAACAATGCAGCTAGACTCTGGCTATTGGCTTAGGCTGCCGTTGCATCTCTGGCAATCCCTGTCTCAGTCTCCCAAATGCTGGTATTAAATGTGAGCCTCCACACCCAGCTTGCTCTTCAAAAAATGTTAAGCCAATTTAGCAAAGTTATGGCAGAGGGAAGAATCTGGAGGTTCATGATGGTCTTGATAACAAGATGGCACTTAAACCCAGTGATGGACCATGTTGATGGCTTATAATATACATAATCCTAACAGCTGAATGTCAACCTCAGATGGTTTATTTTTTTTCAATTGTGTAATATTTTCTTGGAACGTGCAAATTAAAAAACATAACCATGCCGGGTGTGGTGGTGCATGCCTTTAATCCCAGCACTCAGGAGGCAGATCTTTGTGAGTTCAAGGCCAGCCTGGTCTACATAGCGAGTTCCAGGACAGCTGGGGCTACAGGGAGACCCTGTCTCAAAAAGACAAACCCCCAAAACACAACTACTTCTTATTCTAATTACCATCAGCACTTATTTAAAAGATGACTATAAAAACCTCAATACTGGTGATTGAACCTAGAGAAAGTGCTCTACCACTCAGCTATACTCCCATCCTTTGAAAAACTTATTGAATGTTTAAGTGTTCATCTAATGCAAGCTTGACTGTGGCTCAATTAGCCAATGTTGAAAGTTAGCGGTTTATTTAACAGACCTAAAGATATTACATGGAGGCAAAATAATAACTTGAGAAACAAAACTTTGGATTTTGACTACTTTTAGCAAATGGTTAAAAAACAAGTTTTAACAATGGGGGCTTTTTGCCTTAGCTTCTGCTACCGATGACAAATGAGCTCCGGAGAATGCTGGATGACAGCAAAAAGGCGGCTTTACTGAATGTAAAAACCCTGATAGTCTTATCTCACAGGGTCAAATGACTTTTACAAATACCACTAAACTTGGTCACCCTTTCTTTAGTTATCAGAGGTAGTGCACACACTGGCTATCGGTAGGAGCCCCATTACAACTATAGCTACCAGCTGGCAATATAACACAGGTTAACTTTTATAAGTATGCTGTTCCAAACACATTTGAAGTCTGTTTTAAATCCAAGTGTGGTGGTGCATGCCTGTAATCCTAGTACTCTAGGCAAAGGCAGAAGGATTGCTTCAAGTTTGAGGCCAGTTTCTTCAAGGCCAGCCAGTGCTACAGGAGACCCTAGCCCAAAATACCAAAAAAAAAAATAAAATAAAATAAAAAAATAAAAAGTTAAACTATTTAGCTCGAGGCATATCAAGATGGAGCAAGTTTCCAGACATCCCTTCTTCCACCTACCAGCTAAAAGCCTGTCGATCATACTTGCCACTCCAGGGTACTGAACCTAAAGTGCTTGCAAACATTTATGCAAATAGTGCTAGGCCACCTGGATACAAAGCATTCTCAACAACCACAAATAAAACTGTGCCACTGTTGTAGAAAGGTCTCTTAGTCCCAGCAGAGATAGGAGGCAGAGGCAGGCAGATCTCTGTGAGTTTGAGGCCAGCCTGGTTTACATATCAAGTTCCAGGCCAGGTTGAGGGAGATCTCCCCCAACCCCCTCCCCCCCCCCAACCCCCCTTAAGTCAGGCGTAGTGGCTCAGGCCTACAATCCCAGAACTCGGGGGCTGAGACAGGAAATTTGCAATTCAAAGCCAGCCAGACCTTGTTTTGAAAATCCAATTATACAGAATGAGAACATGTTAATTTCCCACACCTGCTCTTTAGCATTCATGAAGGGCCATGTGACCATCATCAAATTCATCTAACTTTGGAGACCAAAGAAAAATCATTCGTGAAAATGATCTTAGCTGGGCACCACTGAACACACATATAATCTCAGCACAAGGGAGGTAGGGATCCAAGGGGGTCAGGAATTCAAGGTCACAGTGAGTTCTAAGCCAGTCTGGGCTACACGAGATTGTTACCACCTCCTCTCCCAAAGGAAAAAAGTGATTCTAATATACACTAATTTTACTAGTAAATGCATTTTTGTTCCTATTTCCTAGAATTACAAGTGATATGTGTTAACTACTATGTAAGTCATTAGTAATTAGCTCTTTAATGCAGAAACTGTTGGTTTCAATATACTGGTTACATATTGTTTTTATTCAGGCTTGTTAACTAAGAAATACAAAAAAGAAACTCTTAGTGGCTTCTATGGGTCCAATCCTTCTTCACAGAAGCTGTAAACAGTTCTGAAGTAGTGGAGTATCTTCAGCAAGGGACCCAGGTGGAGGAACAGTTTATCTGAAATCTGAAAGTATCTATTTTCTTCCTTTGGTGCCTTGTACAGTTGGGCACTGTTAATGATGTTACAGAATACAAGGAAATACCCACAGCAAATAGTTCTAGTGACAATTTACTAGAGAAGTTACAGTTGAAAGATAGTGATGGTGATTGTTTCTTTCATTTTATTATTTTTTACAATAAGGGTGTAGCCTTATACTCCACACACACACAAAATGAAACAAGTGCTTATTACGAAACAGTCCCTGCCCCATCCCCCCTTAGAATATTCTGAACATAGCAATTTAATAGAACAGAAAAATCAAGACAAACCCAATTTCAAATTTTCAATAAAAAAGCAAAAGTATGTAATGCAACAGCTGTTCAACTTCCAACTCTAAATAGGCACCAAACAAACAAAAGAGCCCCATATTTTAAGTTTCTCCAGCACACGTTCCAGTATAAATGCTCTGAACTGTCATCATCTAGTAACGAACGGGACTAAAACTTTAGAACACAAGTCATATTGCTTCCCTGTCCCCGTTTTCCTTTATAGTTGGAGGCATATATATTAGGGCATACAGAAGTCAGAGGAAGAAGAATTTAAAAGAAAAAACTGCCAAAGCTGCTGCTGTTTGGAGTAGAAAGGAAGAGAGCATTTTACAAATGTTCAAAAATTACAAGGCATTAACACAATTCATTCACTATCACTCCTACTTTAAAGGATAGAGATCAGCATCTTATTATATAAAACTGTATGTTCAAAACTGTATCACAGGCTCACCAGAAACTATGGATGTAGTTTTAGGCTTCATCAAGGAGAACAGGCTCAGTTCAGGTTATTAGATACTACACATCTAGCCTGACTGGATCAGTGTCTGGAACTGCTCACTGTTCCCCTGAACAGCTGTAAACTAACAATAGTATGTGACTCCATAGGAAGCATAAGGATGGAAGATACAGACATAGCTAATTAGATCTCCCCTGCTTCACGCTCTTCAGAGCTCCTCCTGTCTTCTGATTTGCCATTAGCACTCTCATAGGACCGCTTCTTATCTTTTCGATCTCGGTCACGAGGTGATCTGTCTCTTGAACTCCTGTCTCTGTCACGTGATGCTAAGTCTTGGTCTCTGAATCTTTCTTTTGAGGATCTGAAAAATATTAATTTGAGGAGCAAAATATGTTGGGACACCCAAAATCCAATGAAAGAATAGGGTAAATATTAAGTTTTGATAGTTGAAGACAGTACACATCCAAGGACAGAGTTTTCTGAGAAAGGAGCACCGCTGCAGCTGAGGGCACCAGACTGCTGGCAACAGGCAGCTAAGGCGCAAAAGGGAAACTAGAATAAGGACTTTTAAGATAATCTCAGTATCCCAGAGACAACCAGGAAGATTCTTCAATTAATATATAAAAAGTGTTTAAGAGAAAAATGATAATAGCTTTTAAAAGTGAAAAGTATTATCAGATTCCAAATTAGATGGAAATCAATGAATTAGGAAAAATCATTTTTGTGCTAAATGGCTAGACACTATGTGAGGTGTTATAAATCACACGTGATCTCGGGGTAGTAGAATCCTTCCTCTTCTTTCTATTTTTTAAAATGTAAAACCATCCATAGCTTGCTGGCTGTACAGAAACAGGCTACAGCCACATTTGTTCTAAGGGCAGCATTTTGCCAACCTAAGTAAGAGAACTACTCAGTAATATGGCTTTAAATAACCATCTGTTAATTTAAAAATATGCTTTACTCCTCCTGAGTTAACCCCTTAAAACCAAATAAAGACAGGAAAGATAACCATACTATAATAAAGTCTTAGAAATCGTAACTAGAAATTATAAGTGTTCCTTAATACTGCCGTCTACTCATCCTGTACCCATCATCTTCGATAAGAAAGATACATAACAAAAACACATCAGAGATTCAACTAGGAAAAAAAGAACAAAAACCCTAAAAGACAATAAATATGGGATTAAAATATGGAATCTAATCCTATCAGTATAGAATGTATACTAAAATGAATCAGCAACAAAATGTTACTTTTATTTAGCTCTTTACAGGTGATACCGAATGTTTAATTATCTCAATCCAGGTTTAGAATTAGGATCTGAGGTACTGCCAAGACCTGAATAATACTTTGGAAGTGCTAGAGTTTAAACCTAGAGCCTTAAGTATGCTAAGGAGGTATGCTACTACTAAAATTCACCCCAAGGCCTGAAAAAGCAGTACTTTTCAGAAAAATATAAAGCAGATTAAAAATATTACTATAACCAGTTTTAGAAATATAGTTACAAGAAAGCATTATGGTTTCAGATGTAAAGAAGCCCAAAGGGCTGTTGTAGCCTTGAACTGGTGGTGCTACTGAAAGGTGACTGGATCAAAGAATTGCTACCAATCAATGAATTAATCCACTGATCAATTCACAGCTAAACTGCTATTAGGAGATGGATTCTGGCCAGAAGAAATTGTTCAATAATCAATGAATTAATTCACTGATCAGTTGTTCATAGCCAAATTGCTATTAGGAGGTAAATTCTGGCCACAGGAAATAGGTAAATAGGGGTGTATCTTTGAAGTGTCTATCTTGGGCCTGGCTCATTTCTGTTCTTTGTTTCATCAGCCTTGGGTGAGCCACTTTGCTACATCATATGCTACCCGCCATGTTCTGCTTCACTGTTCTCAGGCCCAGAAGCAATGCAACCAAGTGGTCATGAAATGAAATCTCTCAAACTGTGAGCTTAAAAGCCCTTCCTTTTATGACAAAATACTTGGAAACAATTTATAAGACAAAATACAACAGAGGAGTAAATAAGAAAGGCTTAAACAATTAATACCCATTTTAAGCATTCTACTTAAGTTTTAGAAGTGAAATTCTCAGAGGAGAAAAGAACACTGCAATGCAGTTTTGTCTGTTCTCATGTTTGTCCATTAGGAGTGGTTATGCTTCTTTCATTTTTGTTCCATGATAAATTCAGTTTTTTTTTTTTTTTTCGGTCTTTTTGAGACACGGTCTCCCTGTAGCTGGCCTGGAGCTCACTATGTAGACCATGTTGGCCTTGAACGCACAGAGATCCGCCTGGTGGCGCCACCATGCCCAGCTTCTTTTGTCTGTTTTTTGAAACAAGGTCTCACTCTGTAAATCAGGCTGACCTTGATGTGTGGCAAACCTCCTGTCTCAGCTTTGTGAGTTTTGTCATTACTGGAGTTCCTGGCTTAATAAGCAAAGTTAAAATGATGTGCCTAAAAAAAAAAAAGTGCAATTCTACACTAGCCTTTCTCCAAAGCCTCTGCAGGAATGAATATGAAGAAAGATGAAACCCATGATTACTAAGAATAAGGGCATGGATGCTGGCAAGACCCTGAGGTAAGTGGTAATAACAACAGAGAGAAGCATTCATATTTGTAAAAGACTACAAATACCCACATGCACGAAGTGTTCTGTTCTATTCACAGTACTGAATGTCCAATAACCCAACTATCCTTACTATCTCAACTCAGAGGATGGGGATAGAAAAATGGGACATAACTAAATTATTGGCCAAGGACTCTGGACTCAAGTAGTCTGACTTTGAAGTCTGTACTATTTGTTAGAATAGAATAAGAAGCAAAAAGCTACTAATGGTCACAATGACCCATAGGGAAAGTTCCTACTGACAAGTTACTTATAGCAGAGACCAGTAAGCACTTCACAGTAATGGGAAGGAGAACAGTAAATCACCAAAGACTTTTAATAAAATTTTTTACCATCAAAAATTAAGTTCACATATGTACGAATAATTTGATGATATATATATTAGTAGCAATTATCTGTTAATTTTTTGGTTAAAAAAACAATGATGCTTTAAAAGTAATTTGAATTCAAAGATATGAAATGCTCCTAAGAAAGAAAAGCAAATTTTAAAAATAGGTTTACAAAAATAATCCTTTCTGAACATGCAGAGAATATCAGGTGTGATGCAGCACGGTGGGAAATTGTCCTATATAAATAAAATTCCACAGTGTGGGAAGCATCAAAATGGTGACACAATCTCAGGACAAGATTCCACACCCATCCCTCCCATCTCCACCACCAATAAATACATGAAAGAATTCATAAATATCAGAAAAATGACAACTGAGCAGGTCAACATAAGACTCAACTAAATCTTTTGCCACACAACTGCATGATTCTCAAAATTCAGTGTGCAGACTACTGACTCATGAAGAACTTTTAAGACGTTTTAAATAAGATAAATGTCTTATTTCTGGACATTGCACCAAGGACAGCCTCAAAAATCCAGTTTAAAAATATGAGGCACATGGCCCACAAGTACTTCTCTGTTTAAATTACAACCATGTACTCAAGCGTGATTTACTACCTGAAGCCATTTTTTAAAATTCTGGCATTTTTCTCTAAATTTATATCATCTGCCCTATGATACCCAGGCTCAGTACTTTATAATCCATAGTCAATTATATTCCTGCATAGAAAACTTCTCAGAGCTACTTGCATATGACTATGCTGTATTTCTTTGTTATTTTTTAATTAAGTCTAGTGCAGTACAAAGTATCTAACTCTTATAAAGCCAGGGAGGATGTAGTATGACTATATTCCTAGCACTCATGAGGAATCTGAGGCAAAAGGATTGAGTCTGAGGCCAGCCTGGGCTACACAGTGAGACTGTCTTTAAAAAAAAAGAGGGGGGGCTGGCTTGGTGTGGTAGCTCACATCTTTTATTCCAGCATTCAGAGGCAGAGGCTGGCAGATAGATCTCAGAGTTCAAGGCCAGCCTGGTCTACCTAGTGAGTTCTAGGCCAGTCATGGCTATACAGTGAGATCCTGTCTCAAAAAACCAAAACAGTATACTGGTTAAAAATCACTTTAAGTGTTACTTACTTAGAAAAAGGAGAGAAATATGAGATATTAAAATATTGTAAAATATTGAGAGTCCATTAAGGAAATGGTTAAGTGAGTTTAAAACAAAGAAAAACTATCAGCTTCCTATGGATTCTTTTACGAGCTTTATGAGGAGTAAGCGATAGAAAGTGCAAGACTAGTAAGCATGAGGCACTCTAAGAGTGTTCTGTTCATCTGATATCTACTTAAGAACAGTTGTCAAGAAAAAAAGCAATTTTGAGTATAATTTATGTTCCATAGTAATTACTTGGTTTAAGGGCTATCATGTGACCTGAGTTTTGGGAGCTTAACACCTGCACCATATTCTAACCATTTCGTCTGCTCTCACTCAATACTTAGGTCCAGTGTCTGCGCTCACTGCTTTTGAAGTTTCCTGCTATATTAAGAAGTATCACTGGGCATGAGTTTAAACACAGCACTCGGGAGTCAGAGGCACATGGATCTCTGTGAGTTCTAGGCTAGCTTGGTCTATGTAGCAAGTTCCAAGCCAGATGGGGCTACAGAAAGACCGTCTCAAAAAGACAGAGAGAAAAAAAGTGTCACACAGCCTCCTTAAAACTCATAATCTTATCGGGGCGTGGTGGCACACGCCTTTAATCCCAGCACTTGGAGAGGCAGAGGCAGGTGGATCTCTGTGAGTTCAAGGCCAGCCTGGTCTACATAGTGAGGTCTTGGACAGCTGCGGCTACAGGGAGACTCTGTCTCAAAAAAACCAAAAAAAAAAAAAACAAAACCCCAAAAAACAACCCCCACCCCCCCCCAAACCCCTCATAATCTTCCCATCAAACTACAAACTAAAGGTGCTAGGATAATGTATGACTTACACTGCAGATTAAACAAGAACACAGTAGTATGTGTCTGCTCTTTGAAAGTGTACCAGCTCAAATAAGTTTGAAGAGTCAAACAAAGCTAAACAAGACTTTTAATGGAAGGACTTCTCAGAGCCCCTAATTTGTTAATACATATTGGGGGCGGGGGGGGGGACGACAAAACACCCAAACCTCTAGAGTATTAGTACCTAAAATTATTTGCCTGTAAAATAGTTTTTACCCCCAAGACATTCCAAGTAGAGAAAAACAACCTCTGCACATACTGGTTCCAATTTCTTACTCTGGCTCACACATGAATCTGTATAAACTACCCATACAATCAGAAAAAAAATGTATACACCCACACAAATGTGTACATATCACCAGGTGCAAGTTTCAAATCAATAATCTAAATATAAGTAACATAAGTAAACAAAAAGCAAAACATAAAGGTAGCTCCATATCCTCTGACCGGCACTTCAGTACCTCCTCTTGGATCGCTCCCTGCTCCTATCTCTAGAACTGTGCCGACTTCTCTGATGGCTACGGCTGCGGCTGCGGCTGCTTGAACGGGACCTGTGGCGATGGCGTTTCTCCCGAGACTTGGACCGGGTCCTTCTCTTGCGTTCTCGTGACATGGAGCGAGACCGGTGTCTTCGATGCTCTCTGGATCTAGATCTACAAGAAAATAATTTATTTCACTGTTAGCTTTGTTAGTGCTACAGTTCTCATCTACTAAAGTATTTTCTTTAAAAAGAAACTATTCTTTATTTTTAATTTTTTTGGTCTTTTTGAAGCAGGGTCTCCCTGTAGCCCCAGCTGTCCTGGAACTCACTATGTAGACCAGGCTGGTCTTGAACTCAAAGCGATCCGCCTGCCTCGGCCTCCCAAGTGCTGGGATTACAGGCATGCGCCACCACGCGCAGCTTTATATTTTTAATATTATGTATTTGTTTGTGCATGTGTGCACCACAAGGCGTATGTGGAGGTTAAGAAGATAAAATTCAGAAGTCAGTTTTTGCCTTCTGCATTATGAGCTCCTGGGATGAACTCTGGTCAGGTTTAGAGGAAGGTGCCTTTACCCAATGAGCCATCTTACCAGCCCTGAGAAGCTACTCTTCAGTAGTCATACTCAATGTCAATTCCATTCTAAATCAACTATTATATGTACTGAAATAAATTGCTAGTACATTAATGAGTGCATACTAGGATTTCAAATAAACATTAGAACATTAATTATCAGAAGTCAACCCATATTGTATAAATTTACATCAGTGGGCTAGGGATATAGCTCAGTGGTCAAACACCTGGCTTGACATACAAAGGCTAACAGGATCACCCCACCACGAGGGGGGGTAGGGGTAAAAAAAGGTCACAATGGGCTGGACAGGTGACTAAGTAGCTAAAAGTGCTTGCTGCACAATCACAAGAACCCGAGCTTGGATACCAGCACACATCACCCAGCAGAGGAGCAGAGAACAGGATTGCTAGAGCTTGCTGGCTTCTAGCCTCGCTGAGAAAACACAAACCCCAGGTTCAGATAGACACCCTACCTCAAAGGAAAAGGTAAAAAGTGATGAGAACTATACCAATGCCCTCTTCTCGCCTCCACACCCACAGACACATAACCACACAAATTTAAATATTCAAATATTTTTTTTTTAAAGCTGTATTAGGAATTCAAAAGAAAAACGAAGGCAACAATCTGTTATCACCACTTCATGCCAAGAGTTGTATCATCTAAATTTTTAAAATTTCTTTTTTTTTAGCAAACTTTAGAAATTAAGGGGGCTGAAAAGATGTTCAGCAGGTTAAGAGTGCTTGCTATGGGGGCTGGAGAGATGGCTCAGCGGTTAAGAGCACTGACTGCTCTTGCAGAGGACCCGGGTTTGAGTCCCAGCACCCAAACGGGAGCTACGAACCATCTTTAACGCCAGTTCCAGGGGAATCCAAAGCCCTCTTCTAACCTCCGCGGCATTACATGACACGGGTACACTCACATACATTCAGGCAATACACTCATACACAAAAAATAAAAAATAAAATATTAAAAACAAAAAGAGTACTTGCTGCACTTCCAAAAGAAGTGAGTTCAGTTCAGTTCCCACACCCATATCATGCAGCTTACTGTCTGTAACTCCAGTTCTAGGGAACTAGATGCCCTCTTTATGCCTCTGTAGCACCCACACAAGATCAAATAAAAAATAAAGTATGGCCAGATGTAGTGGCGCATGCTTTTAAACCCAGCACTCAGGAGACAGAGGCATGTCGATCGTTTGAGTTTGAGGCCATCCTGGTTTAGATAGCGACTTCCAGGACAGCTGAGGATACAGAGAGACCCTGTCTCAAAAAGGCCAAAACAATTACAACAACAACAACAACAATAATAAAGTGTATTGGGTAGAAATAAAGAAAGGCACAATCAAGAATACAGGTACAAAAGTCTGGGATGAGAAGTTCAACACATTGGCTAGAATGGAAGGAATACATAGGAGGAACATCAGAGTTTGACAAGCATGATGACCAAGTATTTTGTCATTCAAACCAGGAGGCTCTGAATGCTGAATTACACAAAGTAAAAAGGGGGACTTGACATTCTGAGACAACAAATATAAACCACAACTATCCTATGACACAATGGATTACATGATCACCATACTTAAAGGCGACAGTGCCAGCTGCAATTCCAGCATTCAGGAAGGCAGAGGCAAGAGGATAATCAATTCAAGAAAAACTCTGTCTGGAAAAACTATAAACCTGGTGTGGTGGCACATGCCTATAATCCAAACACTCCAGAGGACAGAGGCAGGAGTTCCAGGAGACAACCTGGAGGTAAGCCAAGGCTATGCAGTCTCAAAAAAACCCAAACAATAACAACAACAATAATAAAATATCCAATTAGCTGGTTAACCTACTTATATTTTCAACAGGTACAGTTCTCAGAATGCTGTTTCTTAAATGGACCAAATTAAATTTTAAATTTCAAACTGACTTTAAAAAGGATCTAGTTACAAATTACTGAGTTCCTGAAAGTATTTTAAAGAAATATTTTGTGCTTCTTCCTATAACTCCAGAACATAGTATATAATTCTACTCTGATAAAACACAGTTGCAGTTCTGAGTATGTTCTGAACAGTTTCTCTTCAAACGCAATGCTCAAACCTGAACTATCAAAGAAACAGTAGCAATTTATCAATTCTCATTGAGGTTCAAAAACTTCCATCTAAAAACATACCTTCACTATTATACCTACCTTTTGGGATTCTTGCTATGTGATCGCGACCTAAAAAAAGAATACCTACTTTTAGAAAAGTGAAGTATAAATTAAAAAACAAAAACAGTACAATATGCTGTTAAATTGCATTGAGTTCTAATTTTTATATTAATTCTATAAAAACAAAGCATATACTTACACATTCAAGTTTCTTCCAAAAACTACAGAATTCCCTACCTTGTCATATAAGCTCCTAACTAGATACTAGTTCTTTAAAAGAATATGCTCCTCAAAGTCTAAAATTTAGTGTGTGTCACAAATATTTAGTTCTCCAGAAACCACTTCCTAGCCTTGGAAAACAAACGTTTTTTTTCCCATAGTTTTTCACTGTGATTTTCCCCACATTTCATTGTGAAATGTCTTAAGATTTAAAAAAAAAAAAGTGAGCCAGGCATGGTGGCATACACCTTTAATCCCAGTACTTAGGAGGCAGAGGCAGGCAGATCTCAGTGAGTTCAAGGCCGGTGTGGTCTACATAATGAGTTCCAGGCCAGCTGGGGCTACAGGGAGATCCTGTCTCAAAAAGACAAAAAAACAGAAACACCCCACATGTTTTGGACCTACAACCTCATACTATACTATAGTCCTAGAATTAACTCAATCTTCTAATGTCTCTTTTTCACATGAATGATGTAATACACTATTCACATTTCCCAATTCACTCTTAGTATTCAATAAATAGTCAATGTCATGGTTAACTCAACACTGCAGGGTTGGGCTGGGCTGGGCTGGGTTTTGTGTGTGTGTAAAAGAAAGCATGGATGAAAGTATGTTTCTAGATGTGTTTAACTATGGTTTTATGACTTACTGTGGAACCTGGGTAAAGTTACATATTATCCCTCAGTTCACTCTATTATTGGTAAAAGTGTCATTTGGGGTAAAGAGGACTCCTAGGATTCAGCTGTCCCCTAAAGTCCACATGGTGAAGATCTGGGACACCAGCTGTATATCTAATCATTGAGGGCTGGCTGGATCATGAGGACTTTTACTTAATCAAAGGAGGACTCTTACTTAATCAAAGGACTAATCTATTGATAGATATTAACTTGATGGTGTTCTTTGAGAGGTGATAGGAATCAGTAGGTAGGGAATGCCTGGTTCAAAGCAAGTCCTTGAAAGGGCATTATCTTATCCCTGGCCCTTTCCTATCATTTTCTATGCTTCTTGGCTACCATGAGGTAAGCAGCTTTTCTTTACCACACCTACTACTCTGATCTTTCTGCCACCATGATGGTTAGCTTCAACCACAGGCTCCCATCAATGGAGCCAGCCAACTAGGGTTTGGAAACTATGAGTCAAAACAAATCTTTCTTTTTAAAGATGTTTTTCTCAAGTGTTTTCTAACAGCAATGAAAACCTAACCAGCAAAAATTAAATAAATTGAGGCAAATTTCTTAATATAGAGCCTGGTATGTAGTAATGAGCTAGATAAGTGATAGACTTTTTTAGTTTTCTTTCTCAGGAGCATAATTAGAAATGCACCTTGTGCAGGGCTTGATGGTGGATACCTTTAGTCATAGCAAGTTCCAAGCCAGCTGGGGCTACCAGGAGACCCTGTCTCAAAAAGACACTCCCCCCAAAGAAATGCACGTTATATAGTTTTATGCTAGCTTATAATTTCATCTTGCCTCATTTTACAAGGTTTAAATGGGGAAACTGCTTTAACTTTTTGCTTTCTTTTCTGAAGCAAGGTCTGACAGTGCAGTCCAGTTGACTTTAAACTCCCTGCAAAGCTCCCACCCGAGTCTCCCAAGTACTGGAATTACAAGTGCAAACTACCACCCTGCTCTTTTTGTTTTTGAGATGGGGGCTTACTTCTTAACCCAGGCTGGTTTCAAACTCTATGTAGGCCAGTCTCATATCTGCAGGACACCTACTATTTTAGTCTCCCAAGTGCTGGGATTATAGGCATGCACCACTGTGTCTGGCTACACATTTCTGTCTTTCAATTTTGAGTCTGAGCCTTTAATGGCTATATTATCTCTCCTGCCTGCTGAACATTTCTGAAACAGGGTTACACTTTTACAAACCACGTGAAAGGAAGTATGTTAGCCAGCAAGCAAAAGGAGTAATACGTGACCTACTTTCTCATCATTTACAAATATGAAAGTACAGTCCTAAATTGAGAATTCCAAAGTATGTAAAATGCTATTTATACTGTCCTAAATATTGCAATACTGGGCAACATGCCTAGAAGAATGCAGCCTAGACTGAGTATGACGACACATGCCTGAAATCCATGCACCCAGCCAACGCGATTACATAGCAGGAACTAGGTTTAAAAACGTGCAGAACCAACAATAGACCCAGCTTCAACAATGTGGAAAGTCAAAACGGATTCCAGAACACTGTCCTCTGACACCCATGTACATGCAGGTGTACATACATACATACACACACACACACACACACACACACACACACACACACACACTCACACACACACATTTAAAAACAAACTCTCAGCATACATATACTAAGAACAAAGATAAGTTCTGAAGTAAAATTTGTATTAAGTAGGGGGAAGAAAAACACATGAAGAGAGCGAAGAGGCAGAGGGTTAGGCAGACACAGGTAGACTTCTCGAAAGAGTTAATATCCAGCCAAGCATGGCATCGCACACCTTTAGTCCCAGCACAGGCAGGCGAATCTGAGTTCAAGGCCAGTCTAGTCTACATAGCAAGTTCCAGTTCACCTGGGGCTACAGGGAGATCTTGTCTCAAAGAGTCCCCAGCCCCACCACAAGAGGTAACATCCATATAGTACTGTTCTGTTTTGTCCTTAAAGTGCAAAAGGACTGTCCATTAAAAGCCATGTAAACATGTGAGTCAGTGAGTTGGCTCAGCAGAAAGGCACGCAAGCCTGATGACCTGAGTTAAATCCCCAGTTTCTTCACTGGAAAGAGAACCAAGTTTTATAAGTAGTCCTCTGATCATCTAGTTGGGTACTGTGACATACAAAAATGCCCCCCACTCCCAAAGACACATAACATAAATTAAATTCACCTAAACTGATAGAAGCATGCTGAAAGCTTTCACATTACCATGACCAATAAAGGGTCACTTAGGGACATCTGCCAACTATGAGAGAAAGTATATTTCAGAGATGTAATACAATTAAGGGAACATTATAAGTTAGAACAGAGCAGGGTGTGGTGGTGCACACTATTGATCCCAGCACTTCTGAGTTCCAGGCCAGTTGGGGCTGCAGAGAGACTCCGTCTCAAAAGGGAAGGGGGGAGGGGGTGTTTAAAACAGGCAAATTCCTTTGTGGTACAGTTGTTCATTACAAAGTAGTTAAAGTTGGGAACATGAAGTATAACAATGTTACAAACAATGTTGTGCAACATAATGATGCCATGCAATTTTAGTTGCCAATAGGCAAAAATGGCTTAGAAATATGTTCAAACATTTATTTTTTAATTATTTCCTTCCTTCCTTCTTCCCTCCCTTCCTCCTTCCTCTTTTTGAGACAAGGTCTCCCTGTAACCATTCATTCATTGGTCTTTTTGAGACAAGGTCTTCCTGTAGCCCCAGCTGGCCTTGAACTCACAGAGATCCGCCTACCTCTGGTTCCACGCCTGGTATGTTCAAACATTTTAAATATGAAGAATTCTAAAATTTACCAATTAATGTTAACAAAAGTAGGTTTGTACACACTTAAATATATGGAATTAATGGATTGTTTTTTATAATTATGGCTTCCATAGTTGAAAAAAATGGTAGTTTGGGGCTGGAGAGATGGCTCAGCAGTTAAGAACACTAACAGTTCTTGCAAAAGACCTGGGTTCAAATCCCAGCACCCACATGGCAGCTAACAACTGTCCGTAACTCCAGTTCCAGGGGATCTGAAAGCCTCTTCTGTCTTCCACAGGCATTGCATGACACGGGTGCACTGATCGACATGCAGACAATACATGCATACACATATAATAAAATAAATAAATATTAAAAAAATATATATATATGAAAAACCAAATAGCCAGCAGAAGATTTTGTTAGAAATCATAAGGCCCCAAGATATAAAGCATTCTTTATTTGGTCTCCCACAAATTTTGAAAGAAATCACATTTAATTCAGTTGAATGACTAAGAGTTAATGTTAAACATTCCTATCCTGAAAAGATAAAATCCAGACACGATATTCAAAATGTTTAAGATTTTGGAGCATTTTGGATTAAAAAAAAAAAAAAAATCAAGTCTGTGTATGTATGTGTGTGGGTAGGTATGCACACATTGAGTGTGTGTGTCTGAGAAGGTCAGAGGCATTTGTGACATGTTGTGTGAGCCACCTGGGTATAGGAGTTTGGAACCAAACTCAGGTCCTCTGGAGAGCAGTAAGCACTCTGAACTGCTGAGCCATATCTCCAGCCTCATTTTGGATATTTAAAATTAGAGATGTTAAATAGGTAAGGCTTGTCTATGCAAACACTTCCCAAATAAAAAAAAAACAATACAAAATTGGAGCCATTTTTGATTCCAATCATTTCAGGTAAAGGTAACTTAACCTGTATATTTGTTTGAAAATGGTCTTACAAGAGAACATCTTAAAAATTTTTTAAAATTATTTTTATGTGTATGAGTAGTTTGCCTCCATGTATGTAAGAGCACCCATGTGTGCAATGTTCATGGAGGCCAAAAGAGGGCAAAGGATCCCCTGCAATTGGAGTTATGGATAAATGTCAGCAGCCAAGTGAGTGCTGGGAACTGAACCCTCTGGGTCCTCTGCAAGAGCAGCCAGTGCTCTTTAAGTACTGAGCTGTCTCTCCAGTCATGCTAATATTTTTAAAGGCAATCAAAATTCAAGTTTTCCATGTCCAGAACAAACTTTACAGCATCTAAAAAGAACTGGAGAGACTTTACTCCCCACACCTGGACTATCTGACTCCATACCTCCTCAGTTTCTCCCGTTCTTCTCTCTCTCTTTCTTCTCTTCGTTTTAGGCGTTCCTGGTTTCTCTTTTCCTGCTTCTCAGCAACCACTCTCTTCAAAATGATAATAAGAAGTCAGATTCATATTGAGTACAAAATTTCTTAATTATCTGTTCCTTAAACTTTACCATATCTGCTTTCCAATACAGTTTAATTAACATCAAAATTGGAAGTTTTGATAGATATAATTAATTAGACTTCTAGTCTGCTTTCAACAACTGTAGGAAACTGGGCTTGGGGTGCACACCTTTAATCCCAGGCAGAGGCAGGTGGATCTCTGTGAGATAGAAGCCAACCTGGTTTACATAGTGAGTTCTAGGCCAGCTGGGGCTACAAAGAGACCTTGTCTCAAATACAAAACACAACAAACCTATAAAATAAAACAGAATTGTAGAAAACATGTATAATCTCTCATGTTCCTCCATGATTTCTTTCTTCATGCATGCGAGAAAAGTGTTCTACCACTGAGCAACCATCTCATCCCTCATTCATGATTTTTGTTTTGTTTTTTTGTCTTTTTGAAGCAGGGTCTCCCTGTAGCCCCAGCTGTCCTGGAACTCACTATGTGGACCAGGCTGGCCTTGAACTCACAGAGATCCGCCTGCCTCTGCCTCCTAAGTGCTGGGACTACAGGCGTGCAAAACCACGCCCGGCTCATTCATGATTTTTAAATGACATTTTAAACTTCACTTATACCAGACCTTTCTTCCTGTTTCTCAACATTACAACATATATTTTTAAAAATATCAACAACTGCCGGGCAATCTCTGTGAGTTCAAGGCCAGCCTGGTCTACATAGCGAGTTCCAGGACAGCTGGGGCTACAGGGAGACCCTGCTTCAAAAAGACAAAAAAAAAAAAAAAAATCAACAATTACAAATCATTGAGTTTCTATGTCCTGTAATTTTTGATCTGGAAATGTCTCTTCCAATCACCATCATTTAAAGTTTGACTGAGAGCCCAATAATCATCTCCTCTTGACAATTTTAACTACTCAAAAAACTGAGAATGGTTTACTAATAATTGAAAATATGGAGATAGTCCTAGGTGTTCTGGAGTTTTGTAATACTTTACTTTTATATATTTATGTTACTTGGGAGGGGACTGTTTTAAGACAGGGTTTTACTCTATAGTCCAAGCTGGCCTGAAATACACAATCCTGTGCCTCACTAGTGTTGGGATTATAGGTATGTTCCATCTCATCAAGCTGACTATTTATCTAAAATGATAGGCTACTGATCTTTGGTTAATTCTAAGACAAAATTGTACTGAAATTAACTATCTAGTATTGCCAATCTAGAGCCAGACCTGAATTCATGAGAAAATGCTACAATGCCAAAATTATTAAAAGCCAACCACATTAGACTGTTGAAAGATAAACTGATGATATCTACTGACTCTGCCTTCACCATAAACACTTCAATCACCTCATAACTTTTATTTTATTTTGGCTTTTTGAGACTTGGTCTCCCTGTAGTCCTGGCTGGCTGAAAAATCCCTACATAGATCAGGCTGGCCTTAATCTCACAGAGACCCACCTGCTTCTGCCTCCTGGATGCTGGGATTAAAAGCAGGTATCACCATGCCTGGCCACCCTACATTTCTTGTTGTGCTTGCTTGTTTATTCTATCAATGAAGTGTAGAAATGAGTAAGAACTATGCTTTCCTTTTAAAAAAATATTTTATTTTTATTTTATGTGTTTGAGAGTACTGCTTGCATGTATGTAAGGTGCACTTGTGTCATGCGATATCCTTGAAGGTCAGAAGAGGTTGTTGGATTCCCCCAGAACTGGAGTTACGGACTGTTGTTAGCCACCATGTGGGTGCTATGAATCAAACCTGGGTCCTCTGCAAGAGCAGCCAGTGCTCTTAACTGCTGAGCCATCTCTCCAGTCCCCTTTCTTTTTTGTTAGTTTTTAAAATAATTTATTTTTATTATTATGTGCATGAGTTTCATGTACATAAATGTAAATGTACCATATGTGTGCAATGCCCATGGAGGCCAGAGAGGGCACTGATCCACTGGAACTGGAGTTACAGGTTGCTGTTAGCCACCATATAGGTGCTGGGAACTGAACCTGGGTCCTCTGCAAGAGCAGCCAGTGCTTTTAACCACTGAGCCATTTCTTCAGCTTCTATGATGCCCCCCCCTTTTAAAAAAATATTTTATTATTTTTATTTTATGTGTATGAGTGTATTGCCTTCATGTAAATGAATGCACCTGTGTCATGCAATGCCAAGGAGGTCAGAAGAGGGCTTCAGATTCCCCTGGAACTGGAGTTAAGGACAGTTTGTAGCCACTGTGTGGGTGCTGAGAAATCGAACCCAGGTCCTCTGCAAGAATAGTCAGTGCTCTTAACCGCTGAGCCACTCTTCAGCCCCATGTTGCCTTTTTTAATAGTAACTGTCCCCTAAGTTTCACCCTAAATCCTGTCTAAAATGGGTAGAACAAGAGGATAAAACTAGAGGTTCTATAATTTTGCTATTTAGTGAAGGAGTGAAAATATTCCAAATAATAATGAGCTCATTTTCTCTATCTCTCTGTAAATTAAATAATATACTATTATTGCTTTTCCTGAAAAGAAAGATAGACATTTTAGGGGATTTTGTATGTAAATATTAGAAACAATTTTAAGTGACTCTAAATTTAGCAACATCCAACACAAAATGCTATCATCCAGAACAATGGGATAGTTTACTGGTCTATTTTCAGACATCATCCACTAAACTAACTTGAATCCTCACTTCCAACCCTGTACTATTGAGCATAAACTGCTAACAGATACACAACATAATTGAATCAGAGTCAATAACACTATTCACAAAGGTAATTTCAAAGCAGACAAGAACCTGTCTCAATAAAAGTAAAATAAAACTGATATAGATCAAAAGAATCAAGATTAACTAGGATAAAATGAGGAGTATTAATTTACCAATGTACCTTTAATTCTTCAAGCTTCTCTCTTATTTCAATAAATCCCAGATGTAGTTTACCCCCAAAATGATCAGCAAGTCGCCTGTCATTATCATGAAGACCTAAATATGCAGAGCAGACTTCACAGACTCGAAGCTTCTGCTGCTGGAAACTGGAAGCTGGCATAGAATTCCGATAAACTTCCTAAACAAAAATGAGAAAAACAATGATTACATGAATATCATAAGAAAAAAATACTGTTTCACAAACTGTTTTCTAATAAATACAGGAAAACATGGCTGTTTTGTTGGGAAATTACAAGTTTATCTTCACATCCTGTCAGAGACTGCTCTGCTAGAGGTCAAAAGTCACAGCCTTAACTATCTTTCACCAAAAAAACTACTGTAACATTCTACCATGGTACAGTGTATCTAACTTTCTAAAAAGGTATTCTCAATGTTCTTTTCCACAGTTTTGTCAAAGTCTGATGCAGGTGCCCCCATGCTGTGCATCAATGAAGAATTGAAGCATTAAGATTAAGAAGGCCAAAGCTGCCCATGCTTGCTGAGCAGTGTGTGTCTTCCAGTTACAGCTCCTTCCATTGTCTTCATTCCCAAAGATCTCTCCTCCTTCCTCAGAAACAAAGAGAGGAAACACAAATCTCCCCAACAGAAAAAAAAAGGGGGTTCATTTTATAAGACAAGAGATAAGAGATATCTTTACTGAGATTCAGATAACATTTCATTTATAAGGAATTCATTAATAAACAATACAAAGTGGTGAATTTGCCTACCCACTGTCTCTTTTTCTTACTAACAGAACTGTTTTTTTCTTTGAGGTAACAACATACCCACCCAACCAGTAAAAACATTGTATTTTCCAAGCTTCTGAGCAACTCTGGCTGATGTTGATGGAAATGGATGGATAGAATCTATAAAAATTTCTTCAAAAGAGAGCGAAGACATTTA